TCCAATAACCAATCAAAATAAAATACGACTGCCGTTCACGCTAGTTTTAACTGTTAATTTCCATTTTCTCCAAAAAATCTTTATAATTAACATTTGACTTATTAAAATGGTAACAGTTTTCTCTCTTATGTCATCCCATATTGTCGATTTTCGACACGAATATATGAAAATGCGAAACAAAGTCAAATTTGTGTTTTCGCATTCTCGAAGTAAAAAACACAAAAAGAAAACAGAATAACGCAAATATACGAAACATAAAATTTGCTGTGTTTTTTAATTTCATCAGTTTTGTTGGCGAAATTGCAATTATCAAACTGTTTTGTGTTTTTGCATTGCTCCATTGTCGCATTGTTTCATTTTTACATTGTAAGGTTAAGCATTTTGCGTTCTAGCTATATTCCACAGTGCTCATGTGGAGAAACGCGTAATAGAAATAAAGGCATGCTTCATTATGATGTAATAATGGAAACATGGATGGATTTGGTAATCTTACCAATTTTATTAATTTTACAAACATCCTGAATGAAACAATGCTAAAATTGGAAAAGCGAAAATGTAATAATGCGAAAAAGCAAAAATACGATTACACAAGCACTTGTTTTTCGCATCTTTGTTAAAAATAAGCACAGGCTCGAAAGAGGAAAAAACAAGACATTTTCTACGTGTCGTATTTTGCCTGATTTTGCCCTTTTTGCCTGGATAATGCGAAAATGGGAAACACAAAGATACGATGAAGTTAATTATGATAGATTTAATACATATACGAAGCTCATAAAGGTATCTAAATGATATTTTGACTTCCTTACATTGTTATTCTTTCAAGAAATACTGTAAAATTATTTACATAATTAATCATAATTTGAATAAAATAGGATCAAACAAATAAATAGCATTAAAAGGGACTTACTCACTTGCATACGACGCGTTGTCTTTTATAAATGTGTCGGAAAATTATTATTATTAAAAACTTAATTTTGGTAAGAACAAATTTCAAGCTTACTTCTGAATTTAATGTTCGGCATTGACTACTGGTATATTAGAATTGCTTTACTCTTTCTGGTTTAATCCAGTTTATCAAATCCTTTCAAGACATGACCTAAAATTAGAAATGCTCATGCACTCGCAGACCATTTTTTTGGCATTATATACGAAAGCATAGATAGCAAGATATACCTGAATGCTCAGTATGACAATGCATGAAATAACTAAGAAAGTTTTTAAATGCTAGGAGCCTATTCATATGAAATTATCATTTTATAATAAAAGATAAAATTTTAGATAAAAGTTAGTTAATTTAATTTAATTGTCAGTACGAATAGAAAATAGAACGCAATCCATAGATTCTTATTGTTGTATGGAAGCTGTTGATGGTCGTCTTCTGGCTGTAAAACTTTATATCCAGCCATTGTTAGTTGCAATGTTTCATCAAGATAGTTATGTTCATCAAGGTGAAATGGGTAATTGTGCTTACAAATCAAACTTAAATGGCTTTATATTCTGTATAAGCAATTAACCATGTATATTATAACGAGGTAATTCTATTGGACAACACAATTGTCTGGTATAAAGCATTTTTGTTTAATACTTTTGTTAATATTCAATATTCTCACGAAGTTTAGTTGATTAATTAGTGTTTCTTATAAAATACACTAAATTGGCCTAATAAGTTATTATGCTTACAATGTTATAATCATTTCTAAACTAATCAAACTATATTATGATTTAGAATATTGTATATGGAATAAAGAAAACAAATCACAAACACCTGTGTTAATTAGATATATTTCTTTATAAAGATCATGCTTCTTTGAAATTCATTCTCTATTTATATTTAAATTCAATTATAACAAACAATCATGATTTTTATATCAAGTCATAAGTATCTAATTAAATTTATACAATTCAAGAATGATTACAGTGAATAGAATCTAATGTACACGGAGAACTTTATTTGCGCTAACTAGCGTGTCAAATTCGCCAAATTCCTGTATCATTTACGCCATCTATTTTATAATTATTTTCGCCAAGGTTTTTGCATCATTTGCAGCATTTTGTCAGTTTTCTTTTATGAATATGGAAAGGTTATATATTTTGCCGCTTCTGTTAGCATTTGTCCATTATTGTCGTCTCTTCGGGTATATGTTATATGCTGATAATATTGTTTGTTTGTTTGCATACTGATTTCTCTTTTTTCCTCTGTGAATTTTATTTTAGATTCAGACAACGCTTAAAGTAAATCGCTCTAATAATTATCATGTTTAATTACTGCTTGATTGTGGAAATTCACACTTTGGTTCGGCATGCAACTTACATTATAAATATTTATGGAAATACTATTGTTTTAACCTGTAAGAGGAGCTGGTTTTAGAAATCAAATGAACCATCGAGTATAACTTCGCTATGTTACTTCATGCTATAACATTATTTTCAGTCATTTTGAATAGATAAAAAAAAACTTAAAACAACTGTAAAATGGTTAAATATAAAGAGCTTGGTTCATTCAGCATGTTCGTGTAAATAATTTCCCATCAACGCTCTCTATTTTTAAGAGGAACATACAGAAAAAGGAACATACAGAAATGTGGTGTTAAAGCAAGACAGCAGTGACCTTCAGAGGGAAAATTTAGTGTGACACTTCTATATCATGAAGAATAACCTAGAATGTTTCGATTGCCAAATCCCGTGAGTCCAACTATTGTCCTCTACAACCACATGGGTATAAGAAATAACCATTGCCGGTGCTAAAAGGCGAGGACGGTAGCTTGCACTTCACTTTCCAGTACTGTCCATGAGCATGCTCAATCAAGCCGAGCCTGCAATATTTTCAATTTTGCCTTTTAAGATGTACTTTAGGGACTGTTTTCTATTTTATCTCCTTCCCGCAAAACTGTTATAATTAGTGTACGTTATCATAATCTGTCATGCATTTGTCAAGCTGCCCCTTTTTCCGCTTAAAGGTGGCCACGAAAGGAGCGGAGCCCTCTTAGCAATAAAAAGACATTGAATTGTATGTATGCAGCTATTAAAATATGACTTCTAGTTATTCCTTTGACAAGACCTTTGTTCTGCTTTAGCCTTTTCAGCAGTAAAATCCGTCATAACAGTACGGATTAAGGTTTACTGAATACCAAGACCTTTTAATTGAAGGACCTAAGTTTAGGGTGCAGCGGCCGTTTTCATGTTTAAATGTTAGGTTATACTTTTGCATTGAACTTAGACGATGAAATATATTAAAATCTGATGTGATTTAACAGAGGTGATTGGGCGATTCTGCAACAGTTTTAATTTTGTTTTAACTAGGCGATCTTTAAACCTCTTCACCTTTACTAATTTGTTAATTAAGTCATTGTGAAACGAGAATTAACAAGCTACGAATAAATATAATTACATGTATGTCTCTTTTGAAAGAAAAATGTAAGAAATAATCAAATCAAATGTTTAAGGGATTGGACAAGATACCAGTAGGTAAGCATCATATTTATAAAAATGATGTCACATGATCACATTGAATGCTTTTATGACTTGAATAATAAAATATCTAATATCTAAGAATTGGAGAGAGAGAAAGGACATTCCTAAAAGATATCTATTTTCATTTTATTCTATCAAAATCTAGGTAAAATACAACTCATATAGTTAATCTGTTTGTAGATGCAATCAAGTTAAGCTGTTCTTTCAATATAGAAAAAGATATAAAATAGTGTTTCCTTTTATTTACATTTATTAAGACAAACCAAACTTTTAGAAAGGACAATCATACAACAAACTTTTAAATTCGATTTATTTCATTTACTTATTTTATAGCGAAATATTGGCTCGATTATTTTCAATGAGTTATGTCAGTGTCTATTTCTTTTCTGTGTCCAGTTGTTTTAACCATGTCATGAACTGCACTGTCTATTAATTGATGGTCGTTCTGTTGAAGTGAAACGAATTTCCATGATGATACACAAAGATGACGTAATGAATGTGTGCTTTACACTTTTCAATTTATGGGCTTTTATACAAATGACAAAATGTGTACCTATAATAAAAATACTTGGTTTAATCAAAGGAAACAAACTAAAACGGCATTTCATTGATATATTAGTGTATGAATACATAGTACAATAGTAATGACATCAAGACATGAATTTGGAGAATTTTTGATTTTATGAAAGGTACTTTTCATTCTGAAACCAGATTTGCTTCAAATACAAGTCATAATTGGTACCAAAAAGAGCTTAAATGTGTTATAATTCAACGACGTGGCCGTTGTTTTACAGTTGACTAGTTTAATAGTTTAAATCTTTAATAAGCATATCTTCTTATTTTATTTTGTCAAAAATCATATTTTATATATATTTCATATTTCTAATAATCGGGTGTTTGCTTAATTTGTGTAATAAGAAGATTAATTCAGTGAATTGGATTTCTATTTCATCATAAATCATTTCAAAACCGATGTAATTACCATAGGTGGGTCATCTTCTCGGGCTTGAAATCTGGCAACGCCTTTCTTTTCATCGGTATTTTTGTTATGCTCACCGAATTCTATTTGTTAATGTGTTAACCACGGCGATGGTGATAAATGCTGAAATTTAGAGAAGGCACAGAAAGCAAAATTTAATGTCACACTATATGATCAAAAATCCAACATTAGTAACATTCAGGTGATTAATTTTATTAGTTTAAATGTGTTATGAAAAGCTTATTAAATTAAGACAAAAGCGTAAGTTCATTGGTACTATGAATCCGAAGAAAATTCTTTTAACAAGAGTTTGTATTAACAAACTAACTAAAATTTTAACTGATTTGTCATGTTAAGACATCGTTTTTGTAAGCACAAAATGTAATAATTATAAAACAACGATTATACCACTGGATATATTTAGTCCGATATGTTCAGAGTTAGGGAAGCAGGTTCCGTTGTGTAACATCATGAAAATTTATACATGCGCTGCACTTGTACCCACTCCAGTGCAGTGTCCAATTTTGAAAGCTACATTTGTTATACTGATTTTGATAGACCGGGAAAAGTATTGGCACATTCTTGTATAAACTCTTAGTAAAGTGTAGGAGTTTTTTTAAGTTATAGAAAAGTTCACGAATGGAAAACCTTCAACAATTAACAATAAACAAAACATTTTATCACGTCTATTTTATATATATGGTAAACCCTTCCATTTGAATACTCCTCTTTTTTCATAAAACTATACCCACGAAAAGAACTATCCGTTTCAATGAAGAAGAACTTTCTGGAATAAAAACATAATATAGCATAAATTTTATTGGCATTAAATGGTACATATTTATAGACATAACAAAAATGATAACTAATGTTAGAAACCTAAAACATTGCACAATATAGATTACTATAACATTATAGATGTTGTACTTACATTGCAAAATATCTGGCTCACATTCGCTGTTATCCATTCCCATGTGTTTCCTTCTATCTTAACCAACAAAGGATTTTCAGCACCACGAATTTATTTTCCTGACATACGCGTTTTGAAGAGTATTCTCCATTGCAAAGGTGTAGTTCATATTAAAGATTTATTTTCCTATAATCTTTATATCTGATGATACTATTGTAATATGAAATCATTATGTGACTATGGATTGTTTACATTAAATATGATATTTTAATGGACTATAATACAATTTATTAAGCTACATGATGTTTTGTATTATATAAAAGAACTATCCATACCTTTTATTGGAGGTTTGGTTGTGGTAATTACGGTTGTAATAGGGGGTTTTGTCGTACTTCCAGGTGTAGTTGTAACATTTTTCACGGGTTCTTGAGTTGGTGTGTTAGTATCGCTGCTAGAGGACTCACTAGTATCGGATTTGATAGAACTAGTTTTGTCAGAAGTTCCACCGGTACTTCCCGTTGAACTATTAGATTGACTCGCCGACGATCTTGATCCTGAATCTGAGCTTCCACCATTAACTCCACCCGAGGAAGTCAAGCTTCCAATATTAGAATCACCAGACGTTTGTGAACTTGTTTTGTTAGATGTTCCATCATTACTTCCCGTCGCACTGTTAGTATCGCTGCTAGAGGACTCACTAGTATCGGATTTGATAGAACTAGTTTTGTCAGAAGTTCCACCGGTACTTCCCGTTGAACTATTAGATTGACTCGCCGACGATCTTGATCCTGAACCTGAGCTTCCACCATTAACTCCACCCGAGGAAGTCAAGCTTCCAATATTAGAATCACCAGACGTTTGTGAACTTGTTTTGTTAGATGTTCCATCATTACTTCCCGACCCACTACTAGTATCGCTTCCCGACCCACTACTAGTATCGCTTCTCGACCCACTACTAGTATCGGCAGAGTTAGATTGGTCGTCGGACGTGTGAGATCCAGAAGATTGAATGCTTAGCGAATTCTCCGCTGTTCTGACGGTTGCCGAATCAGCACTTAAACTTCCACCATTGAATTCACCCCAAGGAGTCCAGCTTCCAATATCAGACGTCCCAAAATTTTGCGAACTTGTTTTGTCAGATGTTCCATCATTACTTCCCGACCCACTACTAGTATCGCTTCCCGACCCACTACTAGTATCGCTTCTCGACCCACTACTAGTATCGGCAGAGTTAGATTGGTCGTCGGACGTGTGAGATCCAGAAGATTGAATGCTTAGCGAATTCTCCGCTGTTCTGACGGTTGCCGAATCAGCACTTAAACTTCCACCATTGAATTCACCCCAAGGAGTCCAGCTTCCAATATCAGACGTCCCAAAATTTTGCGAACTTGTTTTGTCAGATGTTCCATCATTACTTCCCGACCCACTACTAGTATCGCTTCCCGACCCACTACTAGTATCGCTTCTCGACCCACTACTAGTATCGGCAGAGTTAGATTGGTCGTCGGACGTGTGAGATCCAGAAGATTGAATGCTTAGCGAATTCTCCGCTGTTCTGACGGTTGCCGAATCAGCAATTAAACTTCCACCATTTAATTCACCCGAGGCATCCCAGCTTCCAAAATTAGAATCCCCGGATGAACTGTCAGACGTTCCAGAAGTGTCAGATCCACTTGTTCCATCATTATAGAGATTTATATAAGTACCCCATGTTGAATGAGCCACAGCAAAAATTATAAAGGCTCTTAAAATAGTGTTCAACATTCTGTAAGTAATTAGACAATGATTTTAAAAAAAATAATATTTAATAACATGTGAATTAGTGAAAATATGGATATTTATTTTATTTTACCCATGCAATATGGTGCTATGTCAGTCAAATATATTTCAAACTTTTTAAAAATAAATATGAAATATAAATATGAAAGTGGGCGGACTTCTTTCGCAATTTTGTTTGAAAAATCTGATTAATACAAAACAACATTTTTGTTGAATTTTGTTTTGAAAACTATCTAGAATGATAGAAAATGGTCTAGCTAAGAAAATAAATCCGAACACTATTATCTTTGATTCAGTTATTAACGCTGCACAGAGTTGTTTACGTAACGTCACAATGAAGCGCCAAATATCGCGTGCAAAACAAGACGCATCTCTAATTAAAATATTACTGCGCGCTGTACAATTGCAGCAATCAAGGTGGTTCGTAACCCTTTTTCTTTGATAAGGAAATGAAATTAAAAGGTTATTTTTTCGTTTATCATGAAATATGGTATATATTTTCACTCAACATAATAAAATGCCACATATTTTCACTTGACGTCCCGGCATGTGGCAATTTATCATGTGTCGTGAAAATATCTTCCGTATTTCACTCAAACGAAAAAGTTTCCTCTTAGTATTGTTAAAATATATCACAAAACCAAAGCTTTCCAAGTGTTTCGCTGCAGTTTGAATTAATTTAAAAGTATTCCTTGTGTTAAAGAATTGTGATAAAGCAACTACAAAATAATCAAAATATAAAAAAAAATCTTACGTTTGCAAGCTAAGGTCCACAAAATGGAAACCCACTCTAAGGACTGCCAGGTTTCAAATCTGTACACACTACGGCTTTTGGGGTTGCATTATATGCTATTTGATCAACAGAAATCTGCATGCTAGCCAATCATTCCCGTTACATATGTTACACTGCTCAATGACCGCTGTTACTGGCGATAATACCTTGTAATTCTCTAATTACAAGGTATATCCCTGTATAACAAGTGACTATTTACACCACATTGAACAAAAACAGTTAATATTCTTGTAAAATTTTCAGTAATCTCTTATAACGAGGCAAAAAAATCCTGCACAACAACTGATTAATCACGTCACATTGATATGCTGGCAAGATCTTTTGATCTTATTTACATTATGAAATGAATCGCCAACGACAAAAATTCAAACAATGAAATTACTTGTATTCAAAATTAAATTGAAAATTTGTGTTTTAATTTGAATCATCGTGTGCTCAAATTTGAAATTTCTTTCGATTCTTGTTTTGTATATGTGCATTTTTATGTGACAATTTTTAATTTATGATAAATCAATATCTTCTTATGTTACACATAGATATATCTTAAGGACTTCGGGGTTTGCTTTAACTCCTTGTTGAGTTTAATCTAGGGGTTTGGATCGTCGGACAAGTGACGATCCGATCCAAACCACGATTCAGCAGTTACAATTCACAAATCGAACCACAAATCTTTCGTTATTAAGACACCCATAAAACATGTACATAAGTTATAAAAAAAACATGTTTATTTAAAAAAAAAAAACAATACTAAACATTAAATATATAAATTTATAAACTAGGTTTATGTTTTTATTCTTTGGGTGAGTATTTATGTTTTGATTTTTAAAACCAATTACTTCCTAGCTCAGCATCATAGTACATGGTCTTTAACCGGCAAATTGTATTTAGGTAAACTTCATATAATTTATACTCCAATCGTATTTTTCTCGATTTTAACAGTGTAAGAAACAGTAAATGTATATAAAAAAATAGATCGCGATCCACGATCTCTGGGATTACGAATATTCAAACTCGATTTTTCACTTTGATTCGTGATTATCCGAGTACTCGGATATTCGCCCCAGCCCTAGTTTAATCTCTTGATAAATCATGAATTTTGCATGGTTATCTCTCACTAACAAACCCTTATGAAAATTCTAAATATAAAATTGTTTAGATTGCTTCTGACTTTTGAATTTTCTGTTAGACGTCACAATCAAATCAAATCAGATTTAGGATAAATTAAGTTCACATAACTAAACACATTTTCATGTTCATGCATTATCAGATGTGTTGACCTAAACAGAATGATAATTTATTTCGCGTTTCCTCTTCATATTGTTGTTGAAGATGGAAAATGATTACAAACATTCAAATCTCAGATACTGTCTTTTTATATATATTTGAAATATTACAAAAAGAATACAAAAGACCTTTTTTCTTGCTGATAAATAAATTGCGACAATTTTACAACAGCTGTTCCAATGATTTTTATGTTAGGCCGGTTGGTAAGGGGGGAATCTTTAAAAAAAAAAAACATATTTTGTTCTTAACATAATTTGATACTTTTTAGTTTTTACCGTCAACTTACGTGCAATTGTCCATTACCGACTACTACATTTCTGTGATTATCATACGCAGAATGCGCATGCGCGCGAAAAGGCTTCATCGGGTCAATTTACATAAATCCGAGTTGAGACATAATGTTGCTCAAGCCTCAAGCAAGCGACCGTACAGTTAGGAAACAACACCAATGATGATTTATTTGTCATTTTTTCCTCAACCACTGTATTTACACCAAAAACTGTTTAATTTTTTAAGCTCACATGATTATTTTTCAAAGTATCAAAAGGATTTGCTCGTATATTATATGTAAAGCTTAAAATCGGTGTCCGAAGTCAACAATTGTGGCCTTTTTTTAAGAAATTTCACGGACAATTACGCTTTGTCGTAGTACTTAAGCCAGAAATTATATATTTTATGTAACTCCTAGTTATAAAAGTAACAATTCCTTAAGTTTATAATTGGTCTTTATTGAACTTAGTTATCAATTTTCAGTTCAAATCGGCGATTTTTCGCGTTTTGCTCGCTCGCAAGCGGAAGTTTTAGTGGACAAGGAGGGTACGCCGTGATAATACTTTGAAAAGGGGACATGATATTATGACCGGAAAGTAAAAATCTTTAAAAGATATAGACCGCGTGTCATAATTGTATAGGGGGTCCGTATACTTTGTAACACAGGTGCTAGGTGAGTTACTTCATAATTGTATAGGGGGTCCGTATACTTTGTAACACAGGTGCTAGGTAATGAGGACACTAGCTTGTACTAGTCACTTCTGTCTGTTAACAATTAAGTCGATCCTTTAATATTTTAATTCTGCCGCTATTGGCTTTCTTTAAGGATGCCGTCTTTTTTCTATTTGATATAATAAAGAAAGCATAATCCGAAAAACTAATGTAAATAGCTAATATTTTATTCAATATGAAATACAGTATTTGATGATAGCAACTGATTTGTACAAACTGTAAACTTGTTTAACACAACAGAGATACAAACACATAAACAAATAATGTCTCATATTGTTTACCTACAATTTGTAACAACCAATACAAACATTACCGATTTTATATTAAATTCAAATTAACTCAAACTTGTAACACTAACACAATTTATACAAACAAATAAAACACTAACATTTTGCAAAATAGATGGATGCTAAAATAGTATTAAGTGTGAACTAGGTAAACGAGAAAATGCCAAGTGTACATTATATATTTCTGTAAAAATATCACGTTAATAACAATCATTTGTAACAAAGAAATCAAATGGATTAAATGCATTAAATGAAATTATAACCACATAAAAAATGAAGAATACATGCGTGCAGCACAGTAACAGATTGTTTCATTACAATAAAACTTTATGACATACATTTTCATAATAATACCAATTCGCCATAGGAGTATGTATTCTAAAGATTATCTACACATTATAACAAACTAAAAACATGATCGGAAAGAAAACAAAAATCTAAATTGTTGACAAAACTCTTGCATTATCAAAAAAAATGATATCATTAATACCGTTCATTTAAATTTCCTCTTCAGTTTTCATGGCCAAGAACCAAAGTAACTCATTATATGTTCGGACAGCGAGACAAACGTTCTTGAAAAATTTTCAAATGTTTCTTTAGACCTTTATGCACCTCTGGTAGTCTTATCGCATATATTAGAGAATCGGTAATTGTGTTGAACATAAAGAGTGTTTGAATGATCACCGCCAATAATTCGGGCTGTTTTGTCATTAATGATAACACGTATATCCAAATGAAAGGTAAATTGCACGCTACCAATTTTACTGTGATGATTAATGCTGTGAGAGTAGCTTTACAGTCGGTTTTAGATCTTGCTCTACTTGTGAAATACCGACGATGAATTTTCCAAATGATTAAGACATACAAAGGTGGGATCGATGTAAAGCCAAGTGATGTCACTTGCCAGATTAGCAGATTTGCATTGAATATAGTAATGTAAACTTCATACTGAGATTTTTAAAAGTTGAAAATAAATTCCGTCGTTGCAACCGAAAATGAAGCTGCCCATAACAACAGAACAATGGCATTTACTCGACAGTTAGATAATATCATGTGTACATGTAATGGTTTTACAACAGAAATTAAAAGAGACACTGTTATATAAACCATATTGATAAAAGAGAAATTATGATCGGAATCAAGTACAGGCTAGCAAATATACTATCAACTATTAGATAAAATATCTCTATTTCCATTCATGTATAGGTTATAGGTTATACAGAGTGTTAAGAAATTAATTTTCGAGCGAACGAGGTGAAGCGAGAAAATTAGTTTCATAAAACTGTGTATATAACCTATAACCGACTTACAGTTAGCCCCGCCGCACTATGTAAATAGGCGAGGCCCATTTAAACGGCTCATTTAACGTATTTAATACATACAGTTGAGTTATAGCACAGTATGGAAAATATAATCTGATTTTATTGACCTGTCAATTATGAATACATTATAGCACTCATTTACATATTCGATCCCACTTCGGTTTTTTACGTTTATTTTACGAGAATTAATATGGAGTGTATCACTTACGTTTGGAAACCTCTCACTAGATTAATGTAGGTTCTTGTAACATCCGCAATAGCACAGTCGGTTAAGTGATTACCTAATGCATGAGGGGTTCGAGGTTCGATCCCCTTTTTTGACATTCGTTTTAGACTTATTCTTTCTTTATTTTTAAGTATATTCTAATGAAAATGGTCAAGCGCTTGCAATTTGTCTACACGGATATGAACCAACTAAGACACTGAATTGTCACATTATATTGTATAATTACATTTATTGATTTTAATCGGAATGAATTTTCAGTATTAATTCTTAAACATTGTTGTATACAAATGTATAGTATTTACAAAAAGGTGCAAAACATATCAAAAACGGAACAACCATAACTTAAAAACATGTTGAAAATAGTTATGAATAACAAAAATACTGGACATACTCTGTCTCGATCCTACAACACGTTGAACATTCAGATAAAATATACCAGTGGTTTACACTATAACGGTCAGTGTAAATATAACTTCAAAATAACAAGATGAATTTAATCACATCTTACTGCGCACATCTCACGGAATTTACCGAACATTTATCGAATATTAATATATTCTGTGCATTGACCATATAATCAGTATGGAATTGACAGGTTAATAAAATCAAACAATACTTCGGCAAAATTTAAACAAAATAGAGCGATTTCATTGGTATACAAACTTTGGCGAACTGTAAATAGCTATTATAGTTGACAGTTTTATCATTGTTCATTAATTCTGCTGAAGTTAAATTCATTATTAAAGAGAAATCATCCTTAAGTATATATCCTCCGAAAAGGAGTCCATTGAAAATATATTTCGTAAAAGGTCGTCAGGCCTGTTCGATTTTAAAAATCGAAGAAAGTCGTTTTCGTCGTCGAGGTATAGTGAATTTCTTGAAGAAATTATCCCATTCGTTGGCAATGGTGTTGCTTTGATGCCACTTCACTGAGATGGAAAACTTCTAAATTTCATAACTACATGACAAACTGAAAGAATCATATTCGATATTGTAAGACTCGCCACAAATTTTAGGTGAGTTTTTGAGATATTACCGCACAATGATATGATGAGAAGAAGGTTAAAGATACACGATATAACAGCCAACACAAAAGAAGCGAAACG